TTTATAAGAAAACCGATATTCTTACGTTAATAATTATTTTCACAAACGACAGACCTAAATAAAAGTGATTAATTTTTCCCAATTCACCAGTTCATACGCACAGCACCGTTGCTTGCTGGTACGTTCAAACTTAATGGGCTTATTACTTACTGTGCGCCACTGTTGGCGGACTTTTGAGCACCTCCGATGGCATTTAGCTTGGAAGCCATCTCCTCCCACTTCTTCTCGTGCTCCATCTTCCCGTGTAGCCGATGAAACTTCCCACCGGCTAGTCCCGGGTTTTCCAAAAAGAAGTCCAGCATACCACTCAACTGCTCCATTGAAGCGCGGCTCCGCTTGTTGGCTGCTTGGCTAGTCGAGGCCATCCTGCGATAAAAGAACAATAGCTAGTTAAATTATTTATTCATCAATTTATTGAAATACTTACATTTTTAAGAAGAATCTGTGGTAAATTGCGTTTTTTTCCTATTCCCTTTTGTGCTTTTCGTAGATTTTGACATTTCGGGTAACAGAGGTGCCACTTTTTATCATTTTAAATAAATAGCAAAAGTCAGCTGTTTAGTGTTGTTAATGGGTACGTTAGAGAATCGTACAATCGTTACTGCAAACAACAAAAATTGTTAGTTTACAACTCGGCAAGTAGCGTTGTTAAAAGTTAGTGAATCGCACTACTGGACCTATAATAGCGTAAAAAAATTGGAACTCGCAAAGGAGGGAGGGGGATGGGGGATACCCCCATAGTGAAAATTTTTAATCAGATAAATTATAGATGATATGAAGTTCACCGGGTCATCTTCTAGTCTTTAATATATACTAAGTTAATATATGGATTAATATTTACTAAAGTGTTACGAACGTTATTTTTTTAATACAATAAGAAAAAAATGACTATAATTTAAAGGAGTGACACACAATGGCTAGAGACGTCGCATGTGTGTATTCTTTCATATACATATATATGGGCCGTTCTTACCGTTATATATTTTTCATCCACTCGCTTATTCCTTACCGAAAATTTTAAATAAAAATTTAACAAGTTTTAACCTCTGATACAGTACAGGCAGCAGTTTAAAATGGGGTACTGGGTAAACTTAATAAAGAAAACATATTCTCTGGTTAAATTAATAAGCCTGCCCGGATAACACAAAATTCTAAGCTTGATAAACATTTGGTGTTATACAAGTTTTATAAAGCTCTACTTGTATTTAGGAAAAATGCCGAAAAAAAATTATAAAATTGATTGATTGATTGATAAAAATAGAGAGGGAGTTATGGCTATGACAATAGAAAAAAGATACCTCGTGTTGAAAGCAAAAAGGATTTAAAACCAAAAAAAAATTAAATACATTGTTAATCATAACAAAATTTATGATTCGAAAAATAATTTTGAAATATTGTAAATTTATTTTTTTTTTTGGTTTTTTAAAGTTAAAGTTTCATTTACTTACAGTAACGAACAAAAGTATTGGCACAGTGAATTTTACGCAATATAGGCAAAGTAGTTTTTAAAAGAATTCCAAGTATGCAGTTTAGTAGTCCATTCAGTTTTAGTTTATCAAAGTGCAAGTTTGAAGTTGCTTGAAAATCTGAATATAAAATTGCAAATTAGTATGCAGATTTATTGGATTTTCCTGAGTTTTGCACAAAGTTTACACATTTGATTTTTATGTGTTTTGATATAGTATGAACTATGTTTTTATAAAAAATTATCGGAAATCAATTAAAAACTTTGCATATATGTAATGCGAATATTTACTGTGCCAAAACTTTTGTTCGACACTGTACATATAAAAAAAAAAATACATACAGTAACTTCTCCCGTTACAATAGTAAAAAATATGTAATTTGCTTTGTAGTGCAATCTTGCGGTTCTTTAAATAAAAAATAGATATCAGAAATTAATTTTTCGTATCATTAAACTCCCAAGCACAGGTTTGTATTAAAAAAAAATATAGCCGTAACACTTTATTAAATATTAATCTGCATATTTTATTAATTCGTCGGAATATTTTTTTTATGTATGTTACCGGATAACTTTGGACTACGTTATCCGTTTTCTACAAATATTTTTTAAAGGAAAGGTGGTTCCTCAGAGGTAGTTTCCTGCTAACTGAATGTAGATCCGATAATTGGGCCATAAAGAAAATAACGGTACTCTTAAATTTGTATATGAGAATTGAAGTCGGTTTTGTTTTTTGTTTAAAATTTACTCCAGTGTCCACAGCTTCTATAAAAGAGTCGTAGGCCATATTTTTTTTGTTAGTTCAATTGTGGAACATTTGTATCAACTGCTTCGGCTAAAACTTCGGCTTTTGTTCTCTTTTTATATTGAGGCTTAGTGCATTGTTCGATGGGGTGATATCATTGCCAAACATGATAGTACTTTGTTTGCCATCAATAAACACTAACTTGACGGAGTTACAGTATTCCACATTGATGCGAGCCTCAAAAGCTTTGAATAATATTTGCGAGTATGGCTTTTAGTTTTTACCGCTCAGGTAGGTGGCAGGCCTATAGAAAATATTTCTTAATCAATAATTTTTCAAATACTTTTCGTTCGACACCTATATTATAATACATACTTTATCTTATTAACTTAATTGAATTAAATTTTCGAAATTGGTGGCAACTCGACTCAAAAATATTTTCAGTAGTAAGCCTTCTCTAACCTTTTTAATGTGATACCCATATTGCAATATTTAATTTATCTTATCAATTTCATTTAATTAAATTTTGAAACAGGTGGCAACCCCCCTCAAAAATATTTTCGCCTGTAAGCCTTCATAACCTCTTTCTTTTGACACCCATATTGAAATATCTAATTTATGTCATTAATTANTAATTTATCTTACCAATTTAATTTAATTAAATTTTGAAACAGGTGGCAACACCCTTCAAAAATATTTTCGCCTGTAAGCCTTCATAACCTCTTTCTTTTGACACCCATATTGAAATATCTAATTTATGTCATTAATTAACTTATACTGAAATTTTTAAACAGGTGGCAACTCTCTATTTTTTTCTCGTTTTAACCATCCGGATATTATAAAAAACAAACCAAAAAAATAAAAATATTCAAATCGATCAAGCCGTTTTCGAGTCTTAGCCAGGTTAACGGACAGCAATTCATTTTTATATATAAGATATCTTCTTTTAAAAATGCGCAGGCTCGAAATTGACTTTAGAGCTATGGTCTGGAGGATTTTTTTTCTTAGAATTTTATGAAGAATCCGAATATGCTAGGAACAATGTCGAAAAAAATCAATCCATACAAACTGACCCGCCCTAATATATACCCTCGTATAAGCATCTCCCATTGATATGTCTGCATACCAAATTTCAAGTTCGTGGGACTTATGGTACCGAAGTTATGGCTGATAAAAAATTCCACGCATATGGAATGTGCCACGCCCCTATTTACAAACTCGTTTATATATACCCTCGTATAAGCACCTACCATTGATATGTCTGCGTACCAAATATCAAGTTCGTGGGACTTATGGTTCCGAAGTTATAGCTGATAAAAAATTCCGCGCCTATGGGGTGTGCCACGCCCCCTTCTACAAAATCCTTTATAAATACCCTCCTATAAGCACCTACCATTGGTATGTTTGCTTACCAAATTTCAAATTCGTGTGACCTATGGTTCCGAAGTTACAGCTGATAAAAAAAACCACGGCTATGGGATGTTTATACATTCCCTCCTATGAGCACCTACCATTGATATGTCTGCATACCAAATTTCAGGCTCGTGAGACTTATGGTTCCGAAGTTATAGCTGATAAAAAATGCCGCGCCTATGGAATGCGGCACGCCCCCTTTTACAAACTCGTTTATATATACCCTCG